CATTAGGCAAATCTGATGCACAAGATCTTTTGAAAGTGTTGAAGAGCAAAGATGTCAACTTGAGGACTAAGGTGCTCCTGACCCAAGCCATTGTGTTTTCAGTAACCTCATATGCATGCGAAAGCTGGACAGTGAATAAGGAAGACCGTATAAGAATTGATGCCTTTGAGTTATGGTGTTGGAGGAGAATATTGAAAGTGCCATGGGCTGCCAAAAGAACAAATAGATCTGTTTTGGAAGAAGTGCAGCCAGAGTGCACCTTAGAGGCCAAGATGCACAAACTTCGTCTCTCATACTTTGGACATATTCTCAGGAGGGACCGGTCGCTGAGAAGGATATCATCTTCGGTAAGGTGGAGGGTCAGAGAAAAAGAGGAAGACCCCTAATGAGATGGTTTGGCCAGGTGGCAGCATCGATCGACTCTGTGGCAACATTAGTGAGGTTGGTCCAGGATCGGGCAGTGTTTCGTTCTGCTGTTTATAAGGTCACTATGGGTCAGTACTGACTCAATGGCACCTAACAACAACAATAACATGTGGTAGACGGAGTTTTGGTGTGGCACTGTATGAAAAGCACTGAAACGCAGGCTCGGTTTGAACCACAAGGTTTGCATTTCAAACTTACCAGCCACTTCTTGGAACCCTATACCGGTACACTATGAGTCAGAACTTGACAACAACAACTAAACAATGTGATAGACACCGTGACTAGGTGCTAGGTTACAAGAAGCATATGGTTCTATCATTGTGTGCAAAATATTTAATCTCTGAGCCCCAAGATCCTGCTAAATTCCAAACCCAAATTCACTGCTATCAAGTAGATTCCAACTCATAACACCCAATACGACAAAGTAAAACTGCCCCTTAGGGTTTCCGAGTTTGTAAGTCCTTATGGAAGGAGACTGTCACATCTATTTCTCCTGACAAAATTTTGGTGGGTTTGAACCACTGACCAAGCACTTACGCAAAGAAGCACTGTAACCACTGTGTCACCAGAGCTTCTTAGAATCCCGCTCCTCGGAGAAAATTGTAACATACACACACACTGACATGCTACCTAGCCATGTACATAACAGTACATTTAGAAGTTCTTTGTAATGTGATTTGCAGTTATTATTATATATGTTACCAAATTCATTAATAAATGTTATGCTAAAAAGAAAGATATAAAGCAGTTTAATAACACAAAATAATCTTGAAATAGAATCTCTTGAACAAATTTACATATTGTATACATGAATTTGGGTCTCTGGAGTTAATCCAGAATTATTAAGTGCTTACAGCCTATGTGGATTTATTGACTTCCTATCCTTGGAAAAAGCTAAGAGGCTGCAGATTGATTAAGACCTACCCGTGTGAGTTCATCAATGATGTTCTGTTGCTCAATAACCTGAAGTTTTAGAAACTCTGTCTCTTGTTCTTCATTAGCTTGGTCGAGGTCATTCAGAGATTTTAATTTCTTCAAGGGTGGATGGGACGTGATTTTTTCTCTCTGAATTTGCAAAACAATAACGTAGAAGAAGAAAATACAGGTGGATGCTTTAAAAAGCTTGAACTTTATCTGTAGAATTTATGAATGTATAAAACTCCAGCTAGATTTGGAAATTGCTTGGCTTGAGTACACACACACCAGACCAAACCCTCCTATTTTATCTGCTATAATAAGTCAGAATCACTGAGAATTGTCGGAAGATCTGTATAGCTGTATAGTCTGCTAAGAAATACATTAGCATATCATTTGTCCATGTATAAAACAAGTGATGATATCTTTTTCCTAATTATTATGCATGATGTTAGACAGGGAAGGGCCACCCACCATGCCACTCTGTAAAGAGTATGTTAGGGAAATACTTGGAAGGAGGTTTGTGTGGTGAGGAGCTATGCTAAAGCTCTGCTTCTCAATTTCTGTACTTTTGGAGAGTGTGCAGATTCCTGGAAGTACTTACTGATTGGCAAATTTAGAAACCCCATAAAATTCAAAGCAAGCAATCTTTTCTCCGCTTTCTTCCTTAAAGGCTTCTAGCTTATATAAGGTAAAACCCCAAACTTTCACAAATAGCACAGCGTTTTAAAAAGAACTGAGAAAGAATAATAAGTCAGTCTACTAGAATAATATAAAGAAGGAAGCTGCAATTCTGCAGAAGTTATGATACACACCATTTCTGAATTTTCCTTGGTAATGGATTTTAGTTTCTCTTCCATACGTTGCAAAGACACCATCAGTTCATCATTTCTCTTGGCGAGGCACTTGTTCCTCTCCAGGAGAGGTTTACATTGTTTTTCAGTTTCTCGGACACGTTTTAACTGGGAAGAAAGAAGTTACAATTTGTCTCCTGTTTTTGAGGTGAGGTGGGAACAGGGGAAATGAGTTGGTGAGAGAGAAAGGGCATCTTGAGATTATACTATGTATCTCAGGGCTGACTAGTGACATTTCAATCCATCTAATAGACTTTAGTCTTTCTAGTTTCCTCTAATGCCTCTGGTGTGGTGCTGCAGGGTAATGCCCTGGATCACAAAGTTGGTTTGAACCTTGTGGTTGGAAGTTCAAACTCACCAGCTGCTCCTCAGAAAGCCTATACAAGATTGCTATGAATCTGAACTGACTTGATAGCGCTTAACAGTAACAACAACAACAATGCCTCTTTATTTTAGTTTTCATAATCCTGTATTCATACAACACTTTAAAGCAGTTGTTGCAGAGATACTACTAATGGAAATGCTCACTACCAGTAATTGCTCTCCTTGCTCCACCTTCCTTCCTCCACACCAATTAAGTCACTGTGCTCAGCCCAAATCCCACACTTTCTTAGCACTTCTCCAACCAGCAATGAGCTCTCATTGGTCCAGAGAAATAGAGGGTCCCATCAGAACTACACAGCCACTGTGTGATGAAACCAGGAACTGAATACAAGTCTGGCTGTTTTCAAAACCCATTCTTCTCATCAAAGTTTTTGCCAACTCTCCTGACTCGAACTAAGGCTGTTTATTGATTTAGAACATTTTATTTTAAGTGTAAGTTTACATAATTATTCGTTTCCCATTCAACAATTTACATCTGAATTGTTCCATGACACTTTTAAGGAAGTTTTTTCAACACTTTTGTTGAAAAAGGAAATTACGTAAAAAGAACTGCAGACACAAATTTGAAATTATTCTGACATTTGTGTTTAAGAACAGCTAATTCTCACCCAACTGAGGGAAAGCATGATGAATACTGTTAGCCAGTTACCATCAAGTCCAGACACATGATGACTCCATGTGTGTCCATCAGAACAGAACTTGCTCCATAGGATTTTCAATGGCTGAAAAGCTCCAGACCTTCTCAAGCACCTCTGGGTGTACTTGAACTACCAACCTTTCAGTCAGCAGCTGAACACATTAACTGCATCACCGAAGGACTGCTATTATATTACTGTTGTTGTTTGCTATCATCAAGTAGATTACAATTCATGGCAATCCCATGTATGTCTGAGTTAAACTCCATAGAATTTTCAAGACTCAGCAGGGCTTGTAACATAGTGGGTACCCTATTAGGCTGCTAACTGCAAGGTCAAGGTGTGGGAGAAGGATGAGGCTTTCTGATCCCATAAAGATTTTCAGCCTTGGAAATCCCACACAGGGTTGCTATGAGTTGGAATCAACACTATGGTACATAGCAACCGCATAAAAAGTCTTTTGGAAGCAGATTACTAGATCTGCTTCCAAGGTACCTTTGGGTGAATTTGAACCACCAACCTTTTGTTTAATAGTTGAGTGTGTAACTGTTTGCACCACCCAAGGACTCCCATTATATTATTATCCACCCAGAATTAAAAATGACCACACACCTTAGTTTGCCTGGTTACTCTCTCAATCTTAGCACTACAGACATTTTGGGCTAGATAGTATTTGCTTTAGGACATTGTCCTGCGCATTAAAGGTTGTTTAGTAGCATCCCTAGCCTCCATCCCTAATATGTCATTTTCTAATTCTTCTGAAATGTTCATTATTTCCACACTAATGGTTCTTGATGTGACAATGTGAGGTGGGGTGCAAAGTAAGGAAAGGGAAAGATTATATCAGAAATATCTAGCAAGTATTCTAGACGTACTCACTCTTACTCTTGAAAGTTTAACATTTTGGTAAATGCTGAGGTGGGAGACTTAGCTACTTATGAATAGTTGAAAAAGTTCCTACTGTGATTCTGAAAGTATACTCCCCAAGCTTCATCCCAAACTCCATTTGAAAACTCCCAATTTATACCATAAGACAAAATGATGTTTATTTTGCATAAAAGTTATCCTCTATTACTGAGCTTTAATGACTAAAGGATTAGTGTTAAAATTAAATACATAAAGGACAAATAAATTATTTTATGAAGTTCACTGTATAATATTTATCCTCTATTATTGAGCCTTAATGCCTAAAGTGAGTCCTAGTGTGGTGCCATAGGATAAGCATTCAAACTCAAGGTCGGTTTAAACTGCAAGGTTGGTGGTTCAAACTCACCAGCCACTCCTCGGAAACCCTATACAAGGTTGCTAAGAGTCAGAACTGGCCTGATAGCACTTAACAATAAAAGCAATGCCTAAAGCATTAATATTAAAATTAAATATATAAAGAAAAAGTAAATTATTTTACTAATAAGTTTACTATTTAAGATTTGTTTCTTTTTGGAAGTCAATGACATGAATTTTCTATATTTTAAAATTTACTTACTCATTCTATTTATAGAAAATAAATCTAAGCACAAAGTTTAGGAAATATCCATAAATCTACTATACCATATACATATTTCACCTGAATTTAGAGACCATCTCTAGAAAAGATTTGATGCATTAGACACTAATGACCAAAGACTAGAAGAGCTGAGGGATAACATCATATATATCATCTGTGAAGAAAAGCAAAAAATCATTAAAAAGACAGGAAATAAAGGAAAGAAAAAAAAAAAAAAGGATGTCAGAAGAGACTATGAAACTTGTTCTCCAGCATATGGATGCTAAAGCAAATGGAAGAAATGAGGAAATCAAAGAGTTGAACAGAAAACTCCAAAGGGTAGTTTGAGAAAACAAAGTATTATAAAGAAATGTGTGCAAATTCCAGGAATTAGAAAATTGAAAGGGAAGAACACGCTCAGCATTTCTAAAGCTGAAAGTACTAAAGAAAAATTCAAGCCTCAACTCTCAATATTGAAGAACTACATGGACAAGATATTTAATGATGCAGAAAGCATCAAAACAAGATATAAGGTATACAATGATCCAATGTACCAAAAATAAATAGTCAATGTTCAATCATTTAAAGAGGTAGCATGTGATCAAGAACCAATGATACTGAAGGAAGAAGTTCAAATTGCACTGAATGTACTGGTGAAAAACAAGGCTCCAGGAACTGACAGAATGCAAATTGCAATCTTTCAACAAACTGATGCAGTACTGGAGGTATCACTCATCTATGCCAAGAAATTTGGGAGACAGCTACTTGGCCATCTAATTATAAGAGATCCACTTTTGTGCCCATTCCAAAGAAATGTGATTCAATGGAATGCGGAAATCATTGAACAATGTCATTAATATCACATGCAAGTAAAATTTTGTTGCCTATAATATAAAAATGGCACAACAAGTTCATTGACTGCAAGTAACTCAAGCCAGATTCAGAAAAGGATGTGCAATGAGGGATATCACTGATGATGTCAGATGGATCTTGGGTGAAAGCAGAGAATACCAGAAATATGTTTACCTTACTTTATTGACTATCCAAAGCCTTTTGAATGTGTGGATCATGACAACAAGCTATGGATAACATTGCAAAGAATTCCATACCACTTGGTTGTGCTCATGAGGAACTTGTACATAAACTTGTACAATTATTCAAAATGATCAAGGGGTCACTGAATGGTTTAAAATCAGGAAAGGTGTGCACCCGGGCTGCATCCTTTCACCCTATTTATTCAATCTGTATGCTGAGCAAATAATCCAAGAAGCTGGACTGTATCAAGTGTTATCCTACAGTGCCAGACCCAGAATCCAAGAACCCCCTAGGATTTTAAATTACACTATGTGGCACTATAGGATCATCACTGGACTGTGAACCACAAGTTCTACAGTTCAAACCCATCAGCTACTCCTTGAAAACTCTATACAAGTATGTCAGAATTGGCTCGATGGCACTTAACATCTTTAACAAACTTGATCCAAACTGCATCCAATAAATGCAACAGTTACCTTCTTTTCATGTGAATGTTGGACATTCTTAAGATCGACCATATACTGGAATCAGAAAGTAAATCTCTCAAGAAATTTTAAAGAAATAAAGTAAGACAAAGTATGTTTTCTGACTGTAATGGAATTAAGGCAGAAATCAATAACATAAAATGGATTAAGGAAGAAATCAGATGAAATTGGAAAAGATTTTGAATTAACCAGCAATATAAATATGACCTACCAAAACTATAGATAGATTAGAGAAAAGGGTTGAAAACATCTTTATATTTACAAATATCAGAAAGAATGTAAAAATTTTAACCACAGCATAAGATACTTGAAATTTTATAATACAGAAAAAAGGACATAAAAATCCTAATTTAATTTAAAAAAAAGGCAACTCTACAGAAAATAGTAAAAAGACAAATAGGCAAATCAGAAAGAGGACATCTAAAGGACCAATAAACATCTGGAAAACTACTCAATTCATTAGTAATGAGGAAAACACAGTTTAAAATCACAATAAGAATAGACTTCACACACACCAAAATGGTGTTGGTAATAGTGTAAATGTACTGAAAATTGTCATAACAATTCTCAACAACTGTTAGAATCTACTTAAACCGAGAACATGGATAACCTAAAATCCAGTAATTCAACTCTTGTATATTCTCACTTTTTTTTTTTTTAACCAAAAAGACATGTAGCATCACCATGCTAATAGCTGAAAACTGGAAATAAGGTAAATACTCATCAACAATAGAATAAATAAATATCTTATGGCATATTAATTGAATACTATTGACTTGGTGACAACAAACAACAACCAAAAGAGTAATGATAATAAATGAACATGCAACACCATGTATGAATCTTATGAACACACAATATTGGGCAACAGAAGCCAGACACACAGAGTATATATTACATGGTTTCATTTACATCGTTTTAAAAACAGCAACACAATTCTATGGTGACAGAATCAGAACAGCGGTTGACTTTAGGAGAAAGATGGTAATGTTTCATTTATTCATCTGTAGAGTTGTGGCGCTGGGGGTTACTGTGCCAGACTGCAAAGCCGTTTGAACCGCAAGGTCAGTGGTTCAAGCTTACCAGGTACTCCTCGGAAATCCTATACAGGGTCGCTCTGGGTCGGAACCAACTTGATGGCACTTCACAACAACAACATAGTGACTATATGAATGTGTCAATTTGTGACTCTTTACTAAGTGAATTTATGATTTACGCCCTTTTCTCTATTATGTTATATTCCTTTAAATAGGCTTAAATATACAATAAGATATGCAATACAAAATTTAAAATATTCTTGTGGTAACTCACCAATTCATTTCGTTCATCTCCCAGCAAGGTATTCCTGTCTTCTAATTTTCTAATAGTGGCATTCAATTCGGCTATTCTTTTTTGATTTCTTCGCAAATCCTACACAGTAAGAAATAAACTGGTCACTTTCTTTAATAACACTTCTCATAACATTTTGAAATGCCATTCAGAAAAGCAATAAACTCAGTTCCATTCATCTGACTCATGAGGTGAGGGTAAAATGTTCTCTAACTCATTATGCACCATTTGGGTTTAAGATCAAGCTGGCTGAAATAGCAAATAAATTCTATAAAGCGGCTACTCCCTGGAACCCAGATTCCTGACAGGGGAGTAGCAGAGGTTGCAGCAACTTAATCTGAGCTGTGTGTTAGAAAGCCAAGGTCATATTGTGAATCCCTGAGCTTCAAGGAGCAAGCCTTGTGTAATGGCTGCACATGGCTTCCCACAGCATAAACAGCTGTCCTGCCATTACAGTTAGCCACAGCGAGGTCAGAAGAGGAGGACTGAGATGGGCTTTCTAAATTCCTCTGACTCCTAGAGAAAAAGCTGAGTCAGAGAAAGTCAGAGCATCACCTTCATGAGTAAAAGACAGTCATTGGCATATTTTGTCCAGTGTAACTGGCTTCCTCATAGGCCAGAATTGACATGGATCACTTTATACACAGCAATCATTCCTTAATTCTATGCTTAATTCTAAGTCCAGAAGGAGCCCTAGTAAAGCAGTGTGTTACAAGTAGGGCTGCTATCCACAAGGTCAGCAGTTCAAATCCACCAGCCGTTCCATGGAAGAAATATGAGGTTTTCTACTCACATAAAGATTTACTGAAATCCTATACAGGGTTGCCATGAGTTGGAACCGACTCCACGGCATACGTCCACCACCAACACCAGAGTTCTAATGTCCAATACTGCCACAGACTTGCAATTCTGTTACTATTCGGATAGTGCTGGAACTGCTGACAATGCAGTTTCACATACTTTATGAAGGTAATATTCAGAGAGGTCACAGTATGTTCAAGGTCTACAGCTAATAGCAATAGATCAATAATATGTATCAAAGGCTAGCTGTCAGAGATTGTGCTCAATTTTTTCCCCATATTACCTCTTCTAATCCTTTTTTAATCTCTAAATAAATAAAATAATAACCAGTTGCCACTAAGTTGATCCCAACTCCTGGCGACCCCATGGATATCAGAGTAGAACTGTGCTCCACAGGTTTGTGAATGACTGATGTTTTTGGTAGTAGATAACCAGGCTTTTCTTCTGAGGTACCTCTGGGTACACTTGAACTACCAGCCTTTCAGTTAGCAGCCAACAGACACCCTTCTAATCCTTACACCAACCTTATGGGGTACCACAGCACCTCAATTTCACAAACGAGGAAACTCTGGGCAGTGAAGGGATTTACCTGAGGTCACACAGTTAGTAAATGGCAGATCCAGGATTTGAACCAAACAATCTGACTTCTATGTCTATTCTTCTGACAATTACATACGTGAAACCGTAGATGAGTTTAGGTGAGAAAACTCTTTAAGTCTGCCAAAGCACAGTTCAGTACTTTTCTCAATGCCTACTTAGAAATATGTATCTACCCTCAATACCAAATATATATCTATACTGAATACCAATGCATTAATTATTCATGACTTAGTTCTAAGTAGTACTTTGGAACCCATCTCTCTTCCTAAATAATATATTTTCATCTTTTTAGCAGCTAAATAACTTGAAAGGTACAACACGTGGTAACCAACTCTATGCAGCTCATTTCTGCCACAGCACTTCTGAAATTATTTCTTCATATAAAATGATGACACTCTAAGGAAACGATTAACAAATTCAATCCAACTAGAAGTTTTCATGCAATGATTATAAAAGGTTAAGTCCTTTTTTTATACAGAGATGATAACCATCTCCACCAGTTTCCAACTCAATTACTAGCCTTGGCAAGAGGCAATGCACTTTGATCTAATGTATGATTGTTATCATAGGTTGAAGTTTGGATAGGTATGGCTTGGCTAGAAAAAATTTTTTTTATGAACGATTTAATGCGATCTATAATTCTCTTGTGATCAGCTAATGCAGGGCAGACCACTTTGTTGTTGATAAGTTTAGAAAACCCTGTTCCCAAGATACAAGTGGTTTTACAGTAGGAGAAAGAATTGATTTCTTTGTAGTAAACAAGAAAAGAGCTTAAGTGAAAAGTAAAACTTGGGGGCTAAATAAACGATGACTCTGCAGTTGTTAACTTCAACTTGAAAGGACTTACAGGACTGCTGCAGTGTTCTGACCCATCGCCGGCTCTTCCTGGAATTTCTCGTTTCGGACTGCTCATGTTACACTCAGCCTCCTTGACCAGAAAGAGTTGTTCATCCAAAGCCTCCTTCTGCAGTTGGAGTTTCTGTACATAGCCTGTCTGGGTCTCCAGTTCCTTTTCCAGGGAAAAGATTATCCTGTCCTTGGCTTTGATTTCATCCATCTGAATTAAATGAGACCCAGGACATTTTATTTAACAATGCTGCAAAGAAACATGTGTTTCGAATGGCATGAGGTTAACGTCTTTGTGCTGAGTGATAACAAATAATAATAAATATAAGTATTTTCATTTTATAACGGCAACTTTGTGCAATGAAGGATTATCCTAGGCTAATTCAGTGCTAAAGGTGACATTTTTTTTCTCTCCAGACTATCCTGTGTAAAAGTTTTGATATAATGTAGTTTTGGGAAGTCTTGGTTGGTTGGATTACTTTCAAAGGGGTCACTAGTGTTGATAAAAACAGATGCTAAATATTCCAATACAATGTTTCCCAAAATAGAGTTCGATATTGCCTCCTCTTTGGGGGCCTGGCATTTGAGTTCAATCACAATAGCAGTTGTACCTATGATTGGGTCAGTCACTGAAGAGACTGCAGACATCCTAGTAGGCTAGTCATTCCTCAAGGTCAATATGATTGCATTGTTGATGTTAAGTGCTGTCGAATCGATTCTGACCCATAGCAACCCTGTATAGGGTTTCCGAGGAGCAGCTGGTGAGCTTAAACCACCGACCTTGCAGTTCAAATGGCTTTGCTGTCTGGTTCATTAACCCACAGAGCCACACATTGGATTTGGAGGGAGGCCCTTCTCTGGGTCATGTAATATGACTTGTCTATCCCTGTCTATATTTCAGAGTAGCCAGTGCTTATCAGTTCGTTTACCATTACTGTCAGAAAATCATGACTAGGACTAGAACAAGGATAGAAAACATCTGGTTATACCAGCCATTAATCTCCCCTCTCACATCTGTCGAATACATTTATTGATCCCAACGCTCATTTCTACTCAGCCTGGGCATGGTCTCAGGCATTTGTTATCAACTAATCAGAGTTCTGGTAGCGTAGTGGTTACGAATTGGGCTGCGAACCTAAAGGTCAGTGGTTCGAAACTACCAGCTGCTCCGCGGGAGAAAG